TGTCCTGCCTTCAGGTGCTTTGGAGAATAGCTTAACCCATTCTTCTTTGTGGCAGCCCCTCAAATATTGGAACCCTGCTATCATGTCACCCCAGTCCTTCTTTTCACTAGACTAGACATGAACTATTGGATTAGGGCTGGTCTGCATCCTCAGCTAACAAAGCCATTTAGGTTTCAGCCTACTCGTTCTTAACCAGCCTGTCCCACTTTGCAGGATTGTTGTGAAGATGAATCGGAAAAAGAAAAACCTTATATGCTATTTGAGGGGAAGCTTTAGGAGAGGTAGTTGATATGAAGAGGCTGAAAAGGTCACAACAGACATTTACAACAACTAATGCTTTCCTTTTAATGAAGATCTGACACCTTGCTACTGATTTTCAGCAGAGTGATTGTAGGTTACTTTGTGGTTAACAACATCCCTCAGTTGAAGGTTACCCATCTCTGTCCTCAAAGAAAAGGCAGCTTTAGTATCTAACTGATAAATTACATACTGTCATATTCAACTTAGATGAAGATCTAAATATTTAGGAGCATAGCATGGTATTTTTTAAAACATCCAAACACTATATAGACTTATGTTACCATCGAGTGTTTAGAAAATATGACAGAACCAAAACGTAATCTTTGAAATGTCACGAACTTTAATTTATTGGCCATTGGTCTGTCAAAGGAAGCCATCTCATTCAACATGCAAGACTCTTGATTATTTCAGGAGATGAATCTCCTCTCTGGATGTTTTACCCCAGAACTGGAACATTTGGAGATAATAGTGCCACATTGTTTACAATATTGTGATTTATTTTGCTGTCCTGAATATTCAATTCAGGAAAGGGCTTTTTCAAGTTCCTGTCTCTAAGACTGGCAAACCTAAGTATCTTTCTCTTTTCATTAGTAAAAAAGATTGAGGGAGAATGCTGAAGGTTGGAATTTTATGAATCTCTGGGAACTAAGAAAGGGCAACATTTTGTAGGGCTGGCAATATGTCTAGAGTGAAAAATATGTGAAGAATCATAATCGTAAGGCTAAACACAGTCTTATTCAATTCAGTTTCCAGGTGGTCTTCAACTTACAACCACAACTGAGCTGAAAATGTCTGTCACTAAGCAAGACAGTTCTTAAGTGAATTTTGCTCCATTTTACAACCTTTCTTGCCATTTTATGACCTTTCTTGTTAAGCGAATCACTGCAATTATTAAGTGAATCATTCAGTCATTAAATGAATCATGCTTTCCCCCCCCCCCCATTGAATTTGCTTGTTGGAAGTCAGCTAAGGAAGGTTACAAATGGTGATCACTTGACCCAAGGATAGTGCAGTTGCCATAAATCCATGTTAGTTGCCAAGCATCCTTGGAGGTCTTCTAGTCCAACCCCTTGCTTAGGCAGGAAACCCTCTACTATTTCAGGCAAACAGTTGTGATTGGAAGAGATTGGACAACATTTCCAGTGATTAAAAAAAATCAGTGATGGAGCATTCACAACTTCTGGAGGCAAGTCGTTCCACTGGTTAATTGTTTTAACTGTCAGGAAATTTCTCCTTAGTTCTAGGTTGCTTCTCTCCTTGATTAGCTTCCATCCATTGCTTCTTGTCCTGCCCTCAGGTACTTTGGAGAATAGCTTGATTACCTCTTCTTTGTGGCAACCCTTGAGATATTAGAAGACCACTATCATATTGAGGCAGAGACGGAGAGAGGGATGGAAAAATACTATAAACAAATATTTTCATTAACAGGAGTGATGTTTAGCAAGCATTACCTAATATTATAAACTGGCTGTGTGTGATGACCTGTGTGTAATTCTATGAAGAAACCTTTTTACAAGAAATGTTAACTGAAGGTCTCAGATGGTGTAAGGTATTACCCATGTAGAGCAGTGTGGTTTTCTGTCAATTGTATCAACTTCCCTTTTTCCTATGTGTGAGGTCTCAAGACATGAACTTCCCTCTTTTAGTGTGTTAAAGGTAGATAAGAAGTCATCCATTGGGTTAGGCGTGGGTGGCAAGCTGTATAAGAATGACACGCTGGGAATAGCCCAGTGTTCAGAATTTGTCATATGAATGCTCTGAACCTTTGCGCAAATAAACCTGTGTTCTCCAACCCTTCGTAGTCTTGTCTTCTGATGTAAGTATCGTGGTTTTTCCACCACAATATCACCCTAGTCCTTTTTTTTTCATTAAACTAGACATACCAAATTCCTGCAACTGTTCTTCACATGTTTTAGCTCCAGTCCCCTAATCATCTTTGGTATAATCTTAAAATCAATTACAGATACATTTTCTATATCAGAAGCCCCTAGCTTTGAGAAGAAGTTAGGAAACTGAAGACCTAGACCTTACAAACAAACCTCTTTCATAGATATATCCCAAGACCCTTCTTTGACCTCATTTGTCAAGCAATAGTGGCTTAGTTTGCTGTAATTTTGTGGCAGAAAATATAGGAAAAATGAAATGTGATGTAATGATAATAATGGCCCAGAGAAAATTGCCACAGTGGAAATAAATTGAAGTAAAATCACGAACAATAATGGAATTGAAATGCCAAATGACCAAACCATTAGGAACCATCAATCTGAAGCCAACCAGTATCTGAGCATTTTACAGTTGGATAATATCAAGCATGACAAATTTTAAAAAAGTAATTAGTGACAAATATATCCAAAGAGTGAGAAAAAAGCTAAAGACAAAACTGAATGGTGGAAATACCATCAAAGCCATCAATATCTGGGCCATAGCTGTGACACAATATGCTGCTGGAATTATTAACTGGACACAGGCTGAACTGGACAATTTGGGCACAAAAAAAAAAGAAAGCTAATGACTGTTCACTATGCATTACATCCCCATAGTTATATTGATAGTTTATATCTGCCCTAGGACTACATAGTCCTAGGCTGCATTAACAAAGGGATAGAATCACATGAAGTATTAATATCACTTTACTATAACTTGGTAAGTCCACACTTGGAATATTGCATCCAGTTTTGATTGCCACCATATAAAAAAGATGTTGAGACTCTAGAAAGAATGCAGAGAAGACCAACAAAGGTGATCAGAGGACTGGAGGCTAAAACATATAAAGAAAAGTTGCTGGAATTGGGTATGTCTAGTTTAATGAAGAGAAGGACTAGGGTTGACATGACAGCAGTGTTCCAACATCTAAGGGGCTTGGCCATGAAAACCTGCTGGTTGACCTTTCTCTCAGCCCAGTCCACCTCATGAGGTTGTTGTTATGGAGAAAATAGGAGGAGGAAGGTGTGTTGTATATGTTTGCCACCTTGAGTTATTTGTAAAAATAATAAACATGGGCTATACAGTGTGCGTGTGTGTACACACATACACACATACACAAACACATGGATATATACACAAACATATACACATAATGACATCCTAGGTTCTTGGGAATTACTCAATGTGTTTGAAGGCCAACATGAGCTAAAGAACTTGCGTCTGTGATTTCATATTAAATAATAATAATGACGAGGCAAAGTTACATGGCCAGTACATTAAATATAAGCAAAACTAGAAAATAAAGCAGGTAACAACAAGGCCTGGCAATGGGTAAGAGCAGGAAAGTTGAAGAAAAAAACAGAGGATTTAATTCTGGCTGCACAAGACTAAGCCTTAAGGACAAATGCAAAACACCCAGAATTGAGAAGAGCGCGGCAGACAGGAAATGCTGTCTCTGTAAAGAAGCTGAGGAAACAGTGGACTATCTGGTTAGCTGCTGCAAGAAGATCACACAGGCTGACTACAAACAATGGCATGACAAAGTAGCAAAAATGATGCACAGGAAATCTCCAGGAAATACCACTTGCCAGAAATCAAGAATTGATGGGATCACAAATAGACGAAGTAATAGGAAATGAAGAAGTTCTGAAGAAGTACTGTGGGATTTTAGACTTCAAGCAGACAAGCACCTGCCACATAACACCCCAGATTTAACAATTGTTGATAAGAAAGACAAAGACGTCTGGCTATTGGATGTTGCATTTGCTGGAGACAGTGGAATAGAATAGAATAGTACAGGGGTCCTCAACCTTGGCAACTTTAAGACTTGTGGACTTCAACTCCCAGAATTCCTCAGCCAGCTTTGCTGGCTGAGGAATTCTGGGAGTTGAAGTCCACAAGTCTTAAAGTTGCCAAGGCTGGAGAATTTTTGAATAGAATACAAAGAACTGGAGAAAATCACAAAATATAAAGACTTGCAAAGAGAGGTAGAACAACTGTGGCAATAGAAAGCAAAGATAGTGCCAGCATCTGGAGTATCCAGATACTGGCCAGTATCTGGAACATCTGGAACAGCTAGAGTATCTTGGCCAGTATCCAAAACATCTGGAGCACCACTTGAATACCATTGGCATGGACAAAATCATCATTGGTCAATTGCAAAAGGCAGCTTTACAGGTAGTCCTCAACTTCCGATCACAATTGAGCCCAACATTTCCATTGCTAAGTGAAACATTTGTTAAGTGAGTGGTGCCCCATTTTATGACTTTTCTTGCCACCGTTGTTAAGTGAATCACTGTAGTTGGTAAGTTAGTAACAAGGTTGTAAAGTACATCTGGCTTCCCCATTGACTTTGCTTATCAGAAGATTACAAAAGGTGATCACATGACCCTAGGGACACTGCAGCCGTCATAAATATGAACCCCTTGCCAAGCATCTGAATTTTGATCATGTGACCACAGGGATGCTGCAATGGTCCTAAGTGTGAAAAATGGTCATAAGTCACTTTTTTCAGTGATGTTGTAACTTTGAATGGTCACTAAAAAGAACTGTTGTAAGTTGAGGATTACTGGTACTTGGAACAACTTACATCCTGCGGCAATATCTTATTAAACAACATCCAACCCTAATAATATATTAAACTAGGAAGGGAGGGAGGGAGGGAGGGAAGGAAGGAAGGAAGGAAGGAAGGAAGGAAGGAAGGAAGGAAGGAAGGAAGGAAGGAAGGAAGGAAGGAGAAAAAGAAGAGGAAAAGGAAAAAGGAAAGGAATTCTTACTTTTTGGGAGCAAAATTCAGAGCACATCTCCACTGTCAAATTGGAATGTATCAACGAGGCTGGCAAGACGTTCGTTAAATTTTCTGGTACTTTAAAACATCCTCGATAGATAATATTTTGCCCTGCAAAAGAAAGACAAGAAGTTTGATCTTAAATAATAGCAACCAGGATAACCTCCTATTACCCTAAGGAGTATACACGAACACACTCATACTCTCACAGAGGGAGGGAGAGAGAAATAGTTAACATGATAAAAATATGATCTGGTTTCTGTGAAGCCTACTCACAATTCCTGATTTTTAACTCAGCCCTACTGGCCTGTTAAAAATTTGGGTTTGAAATGACCCCCTCCCTTTGAGGGAAGCAACACTATTTTTTTCCTTTGAAAATGTCTCTTCTGTTCTGTCCCCTCTTCCTCATTCTCCCCTGCGAGGCTTTGAAAAGCTCTTCATTAAAAAAAAAAAATCTCCAAAATTGTTCCTCTTCAGGAAAGACCTGGAATTTTAATGATTTGCAAAAACAGCTTCAGGAATCCTCCTGTGTATTTGTGTGCGGAGGGAAAGGGGGATTTTTACCCAAAACATTTCTTCATCTTTATTCCTTTTCATAGGAAGGTTATTTTAATGTTCAAATACTAAAAAGATTTCTAATGTGATGATCTGTCTATGGAGATTTTCAGTCATCCAAGCCATGGTTGTCCCAAAGGTGTTTTTTTTTTCAAGAAGCAACTGGGCTTTGTTTTTCCTTGAAGATGTTTCACTTCTCATTCAAGAAGCTTCTTCAGTTCTGTTGGAACTGAACTATTTTAAATACAATGAAGGTTTTTACAGACAAAAACACAGCTGCGTCGTGGGTTCACCTCTGTCCCCCACTGTGGCCACATGGAAGAAGTAGCAACTAAAGCCCTAAAGCCCTTCACAGGAATTCGACTCACTCACCGGTATAAGTATGCGGACGATACTTGGGTCAAGATCAAAACACAGGAATTGGAAGCATTCATCAAACATATCAAATTCACACATGAAGATGTTAAGGAAAATAGACTAGCCTTCCTGGACTGTGCAGTATACATTAAGGAAGACAGAAGCCTTAACACTGAAATTTAGAGAAAACCCCCACACACAGATCAATATTTACATTTTGATTCTAACTACTCACTGGAGCACAAAATGGGAATTATCAGAACCCTACACCACTGAGCTGAAGGCCTGCCTACCAGCAAAGATGGAAAAGACAAAGAACTAAAACAATCACCTAAATATGAACCAGCTGTGTGCTGCAGCTGCCAAAAAGGCCAACGCAGTGCTAGGCTGCATTAACAGAGGGATAGAATCAAGATCACGTGAAGTATTAATACCACTTTACAATGCCTTGGTAAGGCCACATTTGGAATACTGCATCCAGTTTTGGTCACCCGATGTAAAAAAGATGCTGAGACTCTAGAAAGAGTACAGAGAAGAGCAACAAAGATGATTAGGGGACTGGAGGCTAAAGCATATGAGGAACGGTTGCTGGAATTGGGTATGTTTAGTTTAACGAAGAGAAGGACGAGGGGGGACATGATAGCAGTGTTCCAATATCTCAGGGGCTGCCACAAAGTAGAGGGAGTCAAGCTATTCTCCAAAGCGCCTGAAGGCAGGACAAGAAGCAACGGATGGAAACTAATCAAGGAGAGAAGCAACCTAGAACTAAGGAGAAACTTCCTGACAGTTAGAACAATTAATCAATGGAACAACCTGCCTCCAGAAGCGGTGAATGCTCCAACACTGGAAGTTTTTAAAAAGAGACTGGACAGCCATCTGTCCGAAATGGTGTAGGGTTTCCTGCCTGCCTGAGCAGGGGGTTGGACTCGATAACCTCCAAGCTCCCTTCCAACTTTATTATTATTATTATTATTATTATTATTATTATTATTATTATTATTATTATTATTATTATTATTATTATTATTATTATTATTATTATTATTATTATTATTATTATTATTATTATTATTATTATTATTATATCCCAGGGGATCCAAAACTTTCCAAAAGTTTGAATGATATTCATTTATACAAAATAATGTACCTATGAAGATTTGCCAAAGATCCTTGAAAGCTAGGAGACTTTAATGAAGGAGGAACCCATGGATTGTATGTAGAGGTAATGTTGTATATAGGTAGTCATCAATTTATGGCCACAATTGAGCCCAAAATTTCAGTCACTAAGTTAGACAGTTGTTAAGTGACTTTTGCCCCACTTTTGCAGCATTTCTTGCAACGGTTGTCAAGTGAATCACTGCAGTTGTTAAGCTAGTAACATGGTTGTTAAGTGAATCTAGCTTCCGCATTGACCTGGCTTGTCAGAAGGTCTCAAATGTCTGTCACATGACCCAGGGACACTGCAACCGTCATAAATACATGCCAGTTGCCAAGTCTCTGAATTTTGATCATGTGACCACAGGGATTCTGCAACTGTCCTAAGTATGAAAACCAGTCATAAGTCACTTTTTCAGTGCTGTTGCAACTTTGAACAGTCACTAAATGAATAGCTGTAAGTTGAGGACTATCTGTATATTTCATTTTGACTTTTGTCTTTTAAAAGGGGAACATCTAGGGACCCGAGCTTCTACATTTTCAACAGAAAACAAAAGGAACCCTACGAAGACATCACATCCTTCTTGATCATTAGACTTTTAAGTGAAATGTTCAAAAAGTCCTGGTTTCATTAGAGAACAGGCAGGCTTCAGGAGACTGTAACTCCTTTATGAGAAAGTTCTTAACCAACTGATTTTATGTGATGAATCAATTAATCTTGATTAATTTTGCATATGAAAGATGACCAAAATGTATTCTCTGCCACATCAGGAAAGAAGAATCAGCCAGAATGGGAAAGTACCTTATTGGATGATATACTTTGCAGAAATTGTATGTACCATGATTAAGAACAGTTTACAAAACAAAAAAACAAAAAAACAAAACTCAAATTAATTGGGGTATACTTTAAGAAAACTGCAGAGGCTGCAATTTTTCAGCCAGAAAGATTTTGATTAAGCTCCACTGAATATTGCAGACTTTATTTCTAAGTCAGTAAGAATATGATAGTAATGCCAATCATTTACTTCCCCCCCCCAATTAATCAATTAAATGATCCGGCTGTTTTAATCAATATTAATGCTTTTTATTTAGGCATCTCACAGAGCCCAAGTGGTATCAATCAGAATTTTGAAAGCTTCAGGAATACAGGTAGTCCTCAATCTATGACCACAACTGAACCCAGAATTTCTATTGTTAAATGAGACAGATGTTAAATTAATTTTGCCCCATTTTATGAACTTTCTTGCCACGGGTATTAAGTGAATCACTGCAGCTGTTAAGTTAGTAACATGGTTGTTAAGTGATATCTGGCTTCCCCATTGATTTTGCTTGTGAGAAGGTCGCAAAAGGGGATCACGTGACCCCAGGACGCTGCAAATATGAGTCAGTTGCCAAGCATCCGAATTTTGATCACGTGACCATGGGGATGCTGAAATGGCCGTAAGTGTGAAAAATGGTCATAAGTCACATTTTTCAGTGCTGTTGTAACTTCAAACAGTCACTAAATGAATGGTTGTAAGTTACGGAGTATCTGCATTCCTTCTTCTCATTCAAACATTCCCAATTCCAGGAACAAATAAACTCAATCAATCAATAAACCCCAGGCTCCTTTTGTACTTGAAGAAGTGTTAGCACTGATACAAATTTTGGAAATGGGCCAAGAAGCAGGTTAAGCTGTGCAGGGGTAAAAATCCTTTTTATTAGCAAAGGGAACGATTTTAGCATTCCTTCTCCACAAATAGCATTCATAGGGAGCTATATATTTGAGCAAAATAAGAATGAATCAGAGATTTAAGATATATTATTCTCCACTCTCTCTAACAGGATAACTAGAAAAGGGTGAAAAAGGAAATGTTTTTTCCTTTAAAACCAAAAATGATGAACAAAGTTTACCACAAATTTCTTATTCATTGCAAAATGAACTCTTACTCGTTACAGGTATTATGGGCTGGGCTTTTATTTTTGGAATCTTCCATTTTTTTTCCTGTTGTTTGCTCCCTTAATGATAGGCTATAACTAGGACAGAAGCTAAGAATCACTCAACAGAATCAGTTGAGGGAAGTGCTAATCTATGTCTGTAGGGTCCTTCCATATCAAAGTGAGTTGAACATCAGCAAAGGGACAACCTGGAACTGTCCTGATGAGGTAAATTAAGAATATAGAGTTCAAAATGTAACCCCATCAACTTCCCAGATCCATCTCTTGCACCCATATCCTGTACCCATAATAGAGATTATTAAGTATTTTTGGGGGGTCCCCACTCATAAAGCCTTCTGCTTGATTGTTTGTCTGGTATTAACCCCTGCTTATCTACTTACTTACTGCTTATCCCTGCATATCTATTAACACCAGACAAACAGTCAAGCAGAAAACAATACATGCATTCAGTTGCCCCCATCCCTATTGGAAATAAATACTCACTTAAGAAGCTTACATCACTTACGTCGTTTAGGCCCTGCCCCTGATTCCTCCACCTGGTAAACAGAGAGCCTGTTGATGCCTCCACAGATGGTCCCTTTCTCCCCTCTGCACTCATTGTTGCATTCTTCCTGCTTTGCAATATTCACTGGCAGCTGGTTTCCACAATAGCATTCTGCTCCATATTCTAAGCCGGCATATTTATAAGCCCTGGGTGAAAACAAAACGAATTTCTTCCTATATCATTATTGCAACCTATACCAAAAACAAATATGGAGTAATATTTGACAGGCAAGAGAGGGACCTGGGAGACGGAGGTGGGGGGAGTCCAGGAGAAACTGAAAGGAGAGAAGTTGAAGAGGGAAAGGTAGAGACTCCAAGGACTCTTTATACAGCCCTAGTAAGGATACTGCATCCGTGTTTGGTCACCACATTATAAAAAAAAAATGTTGAGACTTTGGAAAGAGTGCAGAGAAGAGCAACTAAGATGATCAGGGGTCTGGAGGCTGAAACATATGAAGAATGGTTGCAGGCATAGGGTCTCCTGCTTGAGCAGGGAATTGGAGGTCTTCTAGCCCAACCCCATGCTCAAACAGGAGACCCTATACCAGTGGTGGTGAACCTATGGCACGGGTGCCAGAGGCAGCACTCAGAGCCCTCTCTGTGCGCACGCGCGCCGTCGCCCCAGTCCTAGGCCTTCAGCTGGGTTTTATAAAACCTTTTCGCTTTAGGCCTCCGCCGCCATGTGCAAAAAAAAAGGTTCAATCAATCAGTCAATTTCAACATCTCACGGGGAAAAAAAGATCTTGCAAAGTTGGAATTGATTGATTGAACTTTTTAGTCCCACCCAGTCTGCCGTTACCAAAGCAGCCACGCCCACCCAATGGGCCACACCCACCCGGCACCCGACGATGCATAAGTGAGTTTTGGGTTGCAGTTTGGGCACTCGGTCTCTAAAAGGTTCGCCATCACTGCCCTATATCATTTCAGACAAATGGTTGTCCAATCTCTTCTTAAAAACCTCCAGTGATGGAGCATCCATAACTTCTGGAGGCAAGTCGTTCCACCGATTAATTGTTCTAACTGTCAAGAAATTTCTCCTTATTTCTAGGGCAGTTTTCTCCTTGATTAGTTTCCATCCATTGTTTCTTGTCTTGCCTTCTGGTGCTTTTGAAAATAGCTTGACCCCCTCTTCTTTGTGGGCAGCCCCTCAATTATTGAAACACTGCTATCAGGTCACTGTTAGCCCTTCTTTTCACTAGAGTAGACAAACCCAATTCCTGCAACTGTTCTTTGTATCTTTTAGCCTCCAGTTCCTTAATCATCTTCGTTGCTTTTTTCTGCACTCTTTCCAGAGTCTCTACGTCTTTTTTTATAATGTGGTGACCAAAACTGGATGCAGCAAGTAATAAGTATTAAGTGTGGTCTTACTAAGGCTTTATAAAGCAGTACTAATACATCACGTGACCGTGATTCTATCTCTCCGTTAATGCAATCTAGGATTGTGCTGGCTTTTTTGGCTAATGCCGTATACTGTTGGCTCATATTTAAGTGTTTGTCCACCAAGATTCCAAGTAACTTCTCACAGTTATTGCTATTGAACCACATTTCACTTAATCTGTACCTGTACATTTGGTTTTTCTTGCCTAAGGGTAAAACCTTACTTTTCTCTACACTGAATTTTGTTTTGTTTCATAGGGCCCAGTGTTCAAGTCTGTCGAGATCCATCTGGATCTGGAGCCTATCTTCTGATATGTTGGCTATTTCTGCTAGTTTAATGTCATCTGCAAATGTGATGAATTCCCTGAAACAGCAGTTCTTTCTGCCTCCCAAGGTCATTCTCACATGCTATTTCATGCTGAGTCAATATATTTATAAAATAGGGACCAATTCATGTTAGGCTGGTTTATCCATTCTGTTCTGAACATTTGAGAGGCAACAGGATGCAGAAGAAATGTTTGTTTTTTGTTTTCTTATTTCTTATTCTAATTTTTTACCTCTCAGCACAGGCTTCTTGGCAGTGGGAAATTGTCATTTTTCTCAAGTCGTGGAACACGGCTCCTTTCAATGTCCTTTTTCTTGAGTCATCACCAAAGCAGCCAATGTAAGTGCCTTGAACATATGAAAGACAGAAAGACAGTTAGAAAGAATCGTGAGAAGAACAGAATACAAAAAATCAGTGTTCTTTCTAAAGAACAGCCTTGCATTCCTCTCGTATAATAGCAGTAGCGTCATGTTCTGCCAGGAAGAACCAATAAAATATGATTAAGAATTAAACTGATGATAGAGGACAGGAAGGCCTGGAGGAATGTTGTCCATGGGGTAGCGATGAGTCGAACATGACTTTGCAACCAACAACAACAAAAGTAGACCTTGACTTACAACCATTCATTTAGTAACTGTTTGAAGTTACAATGGCACTGAAAAAAGTGATTTATGACTATTTTTCACCCTTAATGACCATTGCAATATCCCCATGGTCACATGATCAAATTCAGATGCTTGACAACTGACTCAGTTGCCGTGCAGTGTCCCAGGGTCATGTGATGACCTGACAAGCAAATTCAATGGGGAGCCACATTCACTTAACGTGTTATTCACAACTACTGTAATGATTCCCTTAACAGATGTGGCAAGAAAAATCGAAAAATAGGGCAAAATTCACTTAACAACTGTCTTGCTTAAGCAACAGAAATTTGGGGGTCAGTTGTGGTCGTAGGTCAAGGACTACCTGTACCATGCTTTTTTGTTGTTTTCTTCTACCTTGTCTTGTGCAGCATTAGCAGTGAGAATATATTTTTAATTCTCACATGTAACATTAATTATGTATTTATTAACAGAACTCAAGTACATGCTCTAAAACTTACTGAAGGTGGAGCTGCAACCAAATAAGGACATATTTACATAATGCAGAAATAATTTGGAATTGGTAGGAATGACAGCTGCCATCTTAGTTGACTTTCCAAGAAGACCAGTTGAATTCATGGAAGACCATGGTTCAGAACAGTCTCTAGAGATGATCTGGTGCAAAAATGACAGATGATGACTCTTCTAGTCCCACTTACAAACTTTCCATGTGTTTATTCTCTGCGATTGTAAGGATATATTCACATAACACATTAGAATAAGCTAAAATTGAGACTCTAGAAAAAGTGCAGAGAAGAGCAACAAAGATGATCAGGGGACTGGAGGCTAAAACATATAAAGAATGGTTGCTGGAATTGGGCATGGCTAGTTTAATGAAGAGAAGGACTAGGGTTCCAGTCTTCCAGTATCTCAGGGGTTGCCATAAAAAGAGGGAGTCAAGCTGTTCTCCAAAGTGCCTGAAGGCAGGACAAGAAGCAATGGATGGAAACTAACCAAAGAGAGAAGCAACCTAGAACCAAGGAGAAACTTCCTGACAGTTAGAACAATTAGCCAGTGGAACAACCTGCCTCCAGAAGGGGTGAATGCTCCAACACTGGAAGTTTTTAAGAAGAGACTGGACAGCCATTTGTCTGAAATGGTGTAGGGTTTTCTGCCTGAGCCTTGCTTCTTGTATTGCCTTTAATTACTTTGGAAAATAGGTTGACCCCCTTTTCTTTATGGCAACCCCTCAAATATTGGAACACTGCTATCATGTCACCCCTAGTCCTTCTTTTCACTAGACTAGACATACCCAATGTCTAGTTCTTCGTATGTTTTAGCCTTCAGTCCTCCAATCGTCTTTGTTGTTCTTCTCTGCACTCTTTCCAGGGTCTCAACATCTTTCACTTTATCACTGCCCCGATGTTCCTGCCTTCCCCCCCCTTAAATTTGTGGGTTAATTATGAATGGTAACAATGGCTGGTGCTCCCTCCTGATGGCTATCTATAGGTCTGGGTGGGTCTTCTATAAAAATATCCATCTGGTTAAGCCATTTTAATTTCTTGCAGTACTGCAGGAAGCCTGCATTGAGGGAAATTGCATGCTGACATTGAAAAACAATCTTCTGGTATAGATAGTCCTCAATTTATGACAACATACGTACCTGATTTTATGTCCTTTTTTGCTACGGTTGTTAAGTGAATCATTGCGGTTAATCTAGGTTCCTTCTCTCCATGATTATTTTCCATCCGTTTCTTCTTGTCCTGCCTTCAGGGGCATTGGAGAATAGGTTGACCACCCCCCTCTTCCTTGTGGCAGCCCCTTAGATATTGAAACACTGATGTCATGTCACACACATACCCCAGCCCTTGTTCTCAATTGGGACCAGAATTTCTGTTGTTGAGCAAGGTGCTTGTTAAGTGATTCATGTTCAATTTTACGATCTTTTGGCCACGTTTTTAAAAACAAATCAGAGAGTTGAATCATGTGGTTGTTAAGCAAATCTGTCTCTCCCCCCCCCCCTTGATTTTGCTTGTTGGAAGCTGGTTGGGAAGGTTGCAAATGCTGATCACATGACCCCAGGATGCTGCAACCATTTTAAATACCTGTCAGGTTGCCAAGCAACCTGAATTTTGATCATGTGACATTCGGGCAATGCTACTATGGTTGTAAGTGCGAGAACTGGTTGTAAGTCACTTTATCCAAAGTGCCATTGTAACTCTGAATAGTTGCTAAAGGAATTGTTGTAAGTTGAGGACTAACTGCTGGATATTTCATTTTTGTTCAAAACTATGACCATTTACAATCAACTTTCTCACTTCCCCCATAAAGGTTGATTAGAGTGTTTATGAAACTTCTCATGTCAGTTTGCAAACCATTATAATCAGTTCCCTGATTCTAGCCAGACTTTAAAGCGGATCTGCTTGAAGAAATGAGCCAACCCAGACTTTGTATTAATCAGAGAAATAAGGGAAAAAAACCAGAATTAGGGCTAGAAAGCAGAAGTGATATAATTTCTTCTGGCATTGTTAAGGCACGTTTGCTGCATTTCCTTGACTTTGACATCCCACTTGAAAAATCTTCAAGCAATGCAACATTTATTTAAAACCAATCTTCCTTCATTGCCCCCTTCTGTAATGCAAAATTAAAATAAAACCATCAAGTTTGCATCTCCTTGATAAAGCTTCTGAATTCGATCTTGCAAACTGTCAGACAAATGTAGTGAAAAGATGATAGAAAAAAAATTATACTTGGAGAAATAAAGACTAACCGTTTATTTAATTTCTTGTGAAAGGACATGATGGTGAAAAAAAAAATCACCTTTTGGTTAGTGCGTGCCAGCAGCACTGGTTATTGATCAGCTGACATTTTCTGTAAGGCTTCCCAAACTGAATACATGTGTATTTTTATAGCACGCTATCATATCAACTAGAAAAGTGTAGCACTCATAAATATCTCCTTTTCATTTAAGCATCTGCTGTAAAAGCTTTGGAAATGGATTGGTTGATGGTTTATAAAGTCTCTTTTCCCATGATAGCTAGCTGCCTTCTTGGGTTTCTTAGAAATCTCTTCAACTGCATGTGTTATCTTACACAAAATCTGACAGTGACACAAATGTGCACAGCGCTCTCTAAAAGCAGAGCTAAATTTTATCTGATTGGTTTGAATCACAGAAGATAAAGACATACAAGGAAATCTGAACCACAGAGCTTTGATGCAAAGGGAAGCCACTGCAGACAGTAAAATAATAATAATAATAATAATAATAATAATAATAATAATAATAATAATAATAATAATAATAATAATAATAATAATAATAATAATAATAATAACGAAAGCTACTGAGCTTCACCAGAGAATTTTATTCATGCACGCATTTGTGGATTAAAAATGATTACTGACAGACCCTCTTTCCATGCACACATTTTGGTGAACAATTTCATTTCCATGAATGAAAAATTCATGCAATGTAGTTAAGTTACTTCTGCGACAAGGACACATTACTGACGTTTCTAGGTCATTGTATTTCAGACTTGGCAACTTTAAGATGTGTGGACTTCAACTCCCAGAATTCCCCAGCCAGCCTGGATTTCTCCAATCAAAACCCAGTACTCTAGTCCAGCAGCCTTCGACCTTTTAGGCACCAGGGACCTGTTCCGTGGAGGGTGGTTTTTCCATGGACCAGGAGTGTGTGGTTTCACCTGCTGCCTGGATCCCGTGCGTGTGCAAATGGGACTTCACTTGTGTGACCTGGTTCCTGGCAGGCCACAGACTGGTGCCGGTCCACAGCCTGGTGGTTGGGGACCCCTGCCCTGGTCCACACATCTTAAAATGGCTAAGTTTGAAAAACACTGTTCTAGGTATAAGTAGTCCTTAACGTACAACCATTCATTTAACAATGTTTCAAGTTACAATGGCGTTGGAAAAAGCGACTTAGAACTGGTTCTTGCACTTACAAGTGTTGCAGTGTCCCCATAGTCATGTGATCAAAATTCAAGTGCTTGGCAACTGGCCTGTATTTATGACAGTTGTAGCATCCTGTGGTCATGTGATCACCATTTGCGACCTTCCCATGGGCTTCCGACTAACAAGTCAATGGGAAAGCTGGGTTCACTTAACGACCGCATCTCATAGCAATGGAATTTGCAGTCCCACTAGTGGTCGTAAGTCGAGGACTATCTATATTTCTCATATCCCAGTCTGAGTACTTTAAAGTTGGGGAAAAGATATTAGAGAGAGAGAGAGAGAGAAAGAGAGAGAGAGAAAGAGAAAGAGAAAGAGAGAGAGAGATATTTTTCTGTTTCATGTTGTCATTTAATTATTTATTTCTCTTCAAAGCAACCTGCAAAACCCTGCCTGGTTTAGCCTACTTTTTTCTTTTCTTTCTTTAAAGGAGAGTGAAGTAGAAAGAATTGTATATATGTTCCTCTTTCAAAAAGTCTCTCGAGTTTCACATTCCTGCACACCTTTTCAATTTCCTTGTTATTGTAGAGCTATATGAGCCTGATTTCTAACAAATCAAGCCATCAAAGAAATCAACCAGTTAGATGAAATCTGGGTGATTCTTTAGTTCAACAGCCTGAATGGTTGACTGGGGAATTCTGGGAGTTGAAGTCCACACGTCTTAAAGTTGCCAAGGTTGGATACCCTTGGTGTAAAGCAACATAGTGTTGATCCTCTTAACAGATTGCTTATATCTTCCCCAAAGTCAGTTCTATGTTCCTTTATGGCACGGGTGTCAAACTCGACATGTCACGTGACGTGTCGCAACATATTGCGACATGACTCAGAGAAGAGCAACAAAGATGATTGGGGGACTGGAGGCTAAAGCATATAAGGAATGGTTGCTGGAATTGGGTATGTCTAGTTTAATGAAGAGAAGGACGAGGGGGGACATGATAGCAGTGTTCCAATATCTCAGGGGTTGCCATAAAGAAGAGGGAGTCAAGCTATTTTCCAAAGCGCCTGGAGGCAGGACAAGAAGCAA